GGGAGGGGGGGGTGTCACTGCTTTTAAAGTGCATTTGCACCCCCCCATACTTCAGCCCTTTGTGACCCAAAGGCTGGGCACTGCCTGCAACACAGGTTGCACAAATAAAAGCTCCTGCTGAGCGCAACAGCCTGCCTGCAGGTTTCGGTTGTGCTTTGCTCCATCATTTCAGAGGGCACACGTGATGGGAATTACCACTGACAGCGGGTGGAAGAGACGGACCCCCGCTGCCGCGGGAGCCAGGCTGGGGGGAACGGCAGTGGCATTTGTCAGAGCCCAGGAACAGAAAATGGGTTTCAGATGGGCCACTGCAGAGCGGCTGCATGGCCCTGGTGCCTCGCACAGGCACAGCGACCGCAGCGAGAGGCTCAGCCAGCCCCACCACGCTACTGAGCATCGCTCCTGTCCCGGCACAGGGCTCTCCTGCATCGCACCCATTCCGGCACAGGGCTCTCCCACGGCACCCAGACCAACAGCTACCCAGCTCCTGCAAGGACAAACCTCAACCTCCACAGTCCAAGCTAGATCCATGAATTGATTTATTCAAGGAGAGAGCAGAAGAGTTGCATTATGCCTAATCCAGACGCAGTGCCACCCACCCTCCCCATCTCTTCCCTAAACAGCCAGGTATCAACAGCTTCATTAAATTCTGCTTTCCCTTCTTTTCCCCTCCTGCCCTTGACTATGGGGTTTAAGAGCAAGACCAACATGGGCAAGCCCTTAAATTCAAGCAACACAACTTACTTGTAAGTCACCACACCCCGCACCCTCCCTGGCACCGTTTCGCACCACAGTCACACAGCACCCTGCCAAGTCACCGGCTTTCCCCGCGGGCTGCCGCAAAGGTCCGGCTTACATAAGAAGGAACAAACTAGCTTTTCTTCGTCACCCTTTCAATGCTGCCATTCATCCCCTGCCCTCCATCCTCCCAGTGCCACCTTGAGGGATGCAAAACACACAGCCAAAACACTTCATCTCACAAGTTGTCCTAGGGCAAATTTTTGTTGCCCACGGGTAATGGGTCTCCAGTTTCGCCCCCCTAAACCACAAGTGAATTAAAGGGTTACAGCAAAAACTACTGAGATGCAAAGGTACCCATGTGTTAAGGACGCTCAGTACCCTGGCAAAGCCATGTCACTGCTCAAAAAGCAAAGAGCTCTGAGGCCTGACAGTCCTTCCCTGGAGGGCCAGGTCACATGCGTCCCACTGCAGAGGTGAATCCGGCATCAAACAGCAGGTGCCCAACTCCATTCGATGGTCGTGTAAAGACTTTGGTTCTGACGCTGAGCGAGCACTAAAGCTGGTCTCAGTTCTACCCAGCTGGAAACATCTTGGTCAAACCCCAGGTTATTTTTGCATCTGCGCATCGGTTCTGCCTGGTTAGAGACTCTGTGCTGACTTTGGCCAAGTGGTCAGCCCCAGGGAAAAGCAAGCCAGGAGGCGAACAGGATGTAATTTTGCAGGCTGAGTGAGAAATGACAAAGCCAGGTTTATTCAGACACAAAGGGGCTGCTTCAAAGCATTTTTCCACCCCTTATAGAATCAGTACTAGCATCACAACCATCTACACTCCAGGATTTTTAGCCCTCTTCTGACTTCAGGCCAGCACGGATGCATACCGTCTGCCCTTTCCAGTCATTCTGCCATTATTTGTCAAATACCAAATTCCAGCTCCTTTAGGAAACCAGGGGGGAAGGAAGCACGGCTGGTTGAACTCTTTGTCCCCTTCTCCACCCTCCCCCCCTACTTTTACATCATCAGAACAGAGCAAGAAACCCACAAAAAATGCACAATCCCAAAGCTGGAGGCTACGTCCCAGTTTCTAGCAACCCAGCGGTCTTACCACAAAGCTCAGCACAGCCTGGATCCCCTTTGACTTCCTAACAATGCATTCGCAGTGGTGGAAGGGTGGGGAAGGAGGGCTTCAAAAGACAAGAGCAGGAAGGAACAAGCTGTTTTGAACGCAGAAGCCATCCACTGCAATGTGAACCGTCTCCATCTGGGCTTTACTGCTCCTCCCGGCAAGCGCTTTGAAGCGTGGCGCCGGGAAACGAGGCAAGGGCCAACAGCACCCAGCACGCGGGGTGGCTCTGTGGGTCTATGAATACTAAAATGCCCTGTATGTCAACGAAGGCTGGATGTGACAGGGCGAAAGAGGGAAAGTACAGAAGACAGAGCCCTCAGTGGCCTTACGCCATCCATATGTTCTCCCGACTGCAGCTCTTGGGGAGGCTGATGAAGCCATTGGGCTGCAGGCAGCTCACTGAACCTTGCACATGAGGTGCTGTGGGCCTTAGTGTGATGCAGGGAGGTATTAGCAAATAATGCTGGAATTTACCCCCTTAATCCAGCTTTGGATGGGGAGAGAGGACAGAAGTCAGTGCGTTCAAAGCCTCCCCCTCTCCAGCCAATACCACAAGGGAAGGGAGGGCTTTTTCTTCTATTGCGGTTAAATTACAAGGCAGCCCGAAGGAGAGGATACACCCTCTCATCACACAGAGCAGCTGCTGTGCAGCCGTTTTTGCACCTTCTCTGCCAATTGCACAACCAGCACCTTGCTGCCAGAAATGATGGTAACATTCTGCAACCCATTCCTCCTCTGCCTCGGACGACTGACTGACAGCTGGTGACCTTGGGAAGATGCTCCTGGGCTCTTGCCTGGGACAAGCCATGGCCATGAATCACAGGACAACTGCGACTGAGGCGGGAGCAGCTTGTTCGCAGGGTGAGCCAGCGTCATGGGGGTACATCGGCCAAGCACTGGTCAGAGGGGCAGGAAGAGACAGGACCAGATCAAGAGGTTCAGGGGAAGCAGCTGGAAGGAAGTTTGCACGGCATCTGCGCTACGGTCCCAGCCGCCCACATCTACACATACTAAACATCAATTAAATTTAAATTAAAAGAGAGAAAAACAAACACTTTGAAAGACAAGAGATGAAAACATCCATGCTGTATCTTTGGAGAGCGAGATGAACCCACCCTGAAGAAATGTAAATGTAGCAGGAACCAAGTGACTCCCGGGATTACTCATTACAGGAGACGAGATTCTCAACATCTTTCTGTTTTGCAGCAATTAGCTGGTAACTGGAGAAAAAAATTGAATAGATCAACACTTTTCTATTATTAGTTTTAAATGACTCAGAAACAGGCACTTCCTTTTTCCTCAAGCTGTGAAGAGCTAAGCACCAAGACCCTGATCATGGCTTCAGGCTCATTTGAACTGCAAATATCTCTGCAGAAATTACAGGAGAGTGGTGTGAATACAATGAGAAACAAACCCTTTGTTTTGAGCATAACTACTAGCAATTAGCTTTCATTTATAGGTTAAAAAGCTTGATACAGCTTATTCGCTAGGAAGAGCATGCAATGCCAAGAAAATGTATGTGTACAGAGGTTGGGGAAGCACGGAGAGAGAGGGGAAAAGTCATGCCTGCTGATGACCTTGGAGAGAAACTGCGTCAAAGGCCAATATAAAGAAATCTGCCCAAAACACAAGGCTGCAACCCAAGGCCCAACCCTAGACCTTATAAAACCAATACCATCCGTAGCCCAGGGAAATAATTAAGCATTTCAGCTCTAAAAGAGTTGCCTGCCCAATCTGCTAAGCAGACAGTTTTTGCAGAGCAATTCAGAGAGAAAAAGAGAAGCAGATTCAGCTGACGAGACGCAAAGAGTCTCTCTAGAAGCATTAATTTCCTTTGGGAAGCAGCCCACATGCTCCTAGCACAGTGGGCAACCATCACTCCTGCAGCAGGTCCTAGCAAGGCAGATGATTAAATCTGCATCAGCCACTTGGTATAAACAGAAAGGCAGCGGATGGGGATGCAGCATCACGAGCAGTAGCTGGCACTCTGAAAACAAGTGAACTTCGATTCACCTTGATGCCTGCTCAGTGTAAGAAACCTTTCGGACCTTCTTCTTCCAGGATTAAGCATCTGCATTGCTGCCACGTCCCCTCAAAGCGTGCACAGGAACGAGGACATAGCACAGGGCAAGGGACCTGCACCGTACGCAGCAGTGACCAGGCCTCGGAGCAGCACCACGTCCCCACCCTGTGATGGGCTGCAATATGGTGACCCGCGCTTCTGCCCAAGCTGCTGCAGCGCGAGGCCTGGATGCCAATCTCCCGGCAGCACGTCCATCCAAGAGCACGCTCTGCCAAGCCAGGTTGGCCCCAACCTCCAAGAACTTCAGGCACTGCCCTGGAATGGGACACGTCATGGGAAATGCTCCACACTAGCAAGGTAGACAGGGGCTGAGGAACTTCAGCTTTTTCCAGAGCAGAGTCCTGTCACTACTCTTCCAAAAGATGAAGCAGCGCAGAGGTACTGTCTTGGCCACCTGCATGTCCCGAAACACCCCACGGGGCTTGGCATCACTGTTCCCAGCCGCCATTTCCTTCCTGTGACCTGGCATCATGCTCACCAGCTAGGAGCAGCCAACATCACCAGAGCACTGGTATTCTTCCAGGGCTATTTGGTAGAGTCAGGCACTGACCCATGGGATTTGCCTGGAGCCCAGCTCAAAGCGACCACCAGTAGACATGGCTGGTGAAGGCACCACCACCAAATCCAGCTCCCAAAGAGATCTGAGTGCTCTGCAAACCTCAGACCTATGAAACAGCAGCCCTGAGACAACACACAGAGGCAGGTGCATCATTTCTTGGGGTTTTCTTTTACTTTTTTTTTTTATTCCTTCCCTCCCTTTGCCACAACACACACTTTGTATTAAATATCTTAAATATATTAATTTTTAAAAAGTATTAATAAAAAGATACTGAAGGACACAGCTGGCAGAGTGACCAAGGGCAGTGACCCACTGCAAAACATGGGGATATTTCAAAAAAACAGAAAACAAATTATAACCAAAAAAAAATGGTATTTTTTGCTTTTGCATGTGCACAGCTGGCTGGAATACCCTGGACTCTGGCATTATTGCAAAAACGGAAGGGGAAGCGGTAGAAAAAATATATTCCATTGTACCAACCTGTATGGGGAAAGGAGTTAAGAGCAAAAATGAGGAGGTTTTAAACATTTTTGGTATTTCAGATATTCCCTCCCACACCCCCCGCCCAATCACTTTTAGTCTTTAAGCAAGTTTTCTGGCTTGGGGTAGCCAAAGAGTACAAAATCTGCTTCATAGAGCTTATAGAGCTGCTGTCTCCAAGCCAGTGGGATTTTGGCAAACCAGTTATCTTCCCAGCTGCTGGCAGTCCTGTTCCGGTAGCTGGGGGGGAAGCGAAGCAGCCTGTCCACTTTGAGAAGCTGCAATAGATACGCAGCGTCCTCATCCAGCGTCTCCAACTTCCCGATGAAATCGTAGTCTATCTGGCACGGATGGCAGAGACGGTAAACCTGCCTCCAGTGCTCATTGAAGGGGGCCATCTTCTCTGTCCTGGGATCCAGTAAGTACTGGATGAAGTCAGAAAAGGAGACTTTGAGGCCTGCCCCGAAGGCCTCACTAACAGAGGTGGGAAGGTTGGTATGGTTGGAGTACAGCTTTAGCATGGGGACAGCAAAACGCCGGTAGAACTCCTCATTCTCCAGCTCAAATTTGCTGCGAAAGGCAGAGATGAGGCGGACAAAAGGGTCTCGCACAAAGAGGAACTTCGTGTACTTCTTCAGCTTGATCTTCATGAGGTGCCGGGAGAACTTCCCGTAACGGCGCCAGAATTTGTTGAAGGTCAAGTGGGTGCTGGTGTTGTGGACATGTTCCCGGGGGATATCCAGAGGGTTCCGGTATGGGACCCCCTGGTCCAGCAGGCTCTCGCTTAGCACAATCATCACCCGTTTCCAGTTGGTGCAGGCCACCTTGGGGACGTAACAGTAGATGATGCCATGGCGGTCATCCACGATCAGGTGGTTGAGCTCATAGTTTGGAATGTCATCAAAGGAGCGCTCCTTGGTGGGGAAGGTGAAGCTGGAATTGGCACAAAACTCCCGCAACGTTCTCTGCCGCTCTGTCTGCAGTTTCTCTTGGTCCAAGCTGTTTCTGTCGTTGTGCGTAGACCAGTCATAGCCTCGCACATTCTCTTCCAAATTGCTCACCACAGGCTTGCTGGAGCCCGGGACGAGTAGCTGCTCTGCCTTGTGGGGGATGGAGCTATTCTGTTTCAGGCTTGAACTAAGCAGCTTTGCCAAAAAATCATCCACATCTGGCAAGGCTTCCCAGTCTTCACCTGCTGTGATACCAGGAATAGCTCCTGGGGAATGAGGCCTGGAGAAGGATGTATGCAGGTAGAAGTGAGCCGTTCCCACGTTGTCCCAGTACACGATGATCAGGAGGATCATGAAGATGGAGACCAGCACCACAGAGAGACGGAGAAGCCGTGCTTTGGTCATCCTGACACCTACTGTGATAGCTGGCTTTCACCTGAATTCACCTCCGGTTTGCAGAGTGAGGCTTGGGATCTAGCATGGTGCTGCAGAGCAGGAGCCTGGAAAGGTACAAGAAAAGAAGTTAAGTTAAACTCTTAATCACTCTGGTTTGGAGGGAATGACCTGGCACAATCACGACTCGTTGTGGGGCTGACCATCCATCTCCACATGGGGAGAGCAGTGCAAGTCTGAGGTACCCATAGAGACCCTTGGAGAAGAGCTGACTGGCCAAAAGGAGACATAATGTGTTGCAATTTTACCAGTTTCCATAGAAATCACTGGGTTTTAATCAATCTCAAGCTTCTAGAGTCATGTGATTTCAAGAGAAGCTGTGTTTTAATTTAAAAAAATAAAGATTTCAGGCCTAGAGTTTACAGAGGGAAGTTTGAGAGTGCTAAAAAATACAATGGCATACAGAAAGTATGCAGAACTACCTTTCAGACCTCCTTGATTTTTAAACATATCTAACAGACAACAGGAAGAAAGAGCGCTTGACACACGATTTTAGCTCGTGGTATCACACTGTGGTCTCATCCCCCTATGAAGATGCTTTGTACCACTGTGCTGAAAACAAAGGCCTTATTGGAGTTATAAATACAGAGCTGAAGATGCCATTGCCCCAGTGGCTAAAGCAAGTCCCTGTTGAGAGAACATGACTGACCTGAACACACCATCTTATCTAATCTGTGTGAAGGCACCCAGTAGGTGTCACCTCCACGATCTTTCTTGGTAGCTACATCATTTCATCACGAACAGAGATTAGACAAACAGTTTTCCTACAAAAACCCCCAAAGGGACACGGCCCTGATAAGAGCCACGCATCAATAAAAATCTAAAGGAATGATTACTTTTAACTGAATGATTTCCAAGATTAAGAATGCTCTGGTAAATCTTTGTCCATGTCTGGACTCTGCTGAGTCAGGACCTCTTTGCCTGGTTTAACGCAATATATATTTCTGTCACACTCATCCCTAACAACTCTTGATCACCAAAGACAGGCAAGAAATCACTGTTAAAAGGGCAGCTCAGAAGACCTTTTCTGGAGGGTGCAGCAGGTTTGTGTTTTTTCATTCAACCAGTCCCATCTTTTCACTGCTGCCTGCTTCCCTGCTGACTCCCAGCCCCTTTCCACCAGCAAGCTCTTCAAGGGAGACCCATCTCCCCACCCTGCTGCCTGTATTCTGGTCCAAGGCTCTGCACAGAGGCAGGCTGGCAAACCAGCCTTGCTCTCTCCCCAAGTGATCAAGGAGCCAGTGCCTACAGCGGAAGAACATCACAGTAGTAAAGCGAGGAGCAGTTAACTGATATTTTGAGAGAGAAACTAAGGTTTGATGTTTTACAGCCTCTCTCTGCAAGGTTTAACATCAAAAGACGAGCAAAAAGTAGTCACTCCAATCTCCTCCTCCCCTCCAAGCCCTGATGATAAACACAGAACAGCACCTACAGGTAGAAAACAAGAGCCGCCCTTTCTGCAGACATCCCCATTCAATCTAATGACTTCAGAACAAACCCCACAAACACCATCTCTGAAAGCAAAACCCCTTCAGGGCAAGCTGCCCTGAAGTTTTTCAAAGCAAAGACTTGGTCTGTCTTCCTCTGGAAACACAGAGGTTGCTCCCCTGCCAGCTCACACGCCACCCTTAAACAGCACCAACAGCACCCGGTACAGAGAGGCAAACAACCTGACAGTCCAGATATGCCAAAGTGCTGAGCTCTTGTCATTCCCAGAGGAAATGGGCTCTGCACCTTCGAAGCCCACTGCAGCCTTGCACTGAACGACTTGTCTAAGGACCCATCTGCATGTCTGTGCTTATGCCTCAGGGATGCCAGATTCTAACAATCCAAGTCCTGGTTCCAACACTAGACCAAACACATTAGACCAGAATTTAATAACAAACATGAACAATACCAGATACAGTTACATATCAAAGCATTAGCTCATCTTGTCCCAAAAGACACAAAACCCTGAAAAGAAGGTTTAGGGGGTTTCCACCTTGGTGTATTTATTTACGCTTTGGAGGCAGGGAGAGCCAGAAATTCAGTGTAGCTGTAGCCTAACATGCGGCTTTGCACTGCAACACCAAACGCTGTGTTTCCTGGAGCCAGGCTCTTATTCCACATGTGAAGAGGAGCAGCAGGAACTGCAGACATGACACCTTGCACTCTGTGGAGCAAGAAGCAGGTATTACTCAGCAGTAATTCTCTACGTTGAGCTAGTCAAGACTGAGGATGAAGCAGATCTAAGAAGAGACACCCAGAGAGATGAGCCTGGAGTTAAAGAAGGGGCAAATTACATATGTGCGTCAGCACTTCAGGCCAAGCACCTCGGTCCAACAGCAGAAGATAATGGAGTGACGCTGCCAAGCCTACTGCTTGGCACACTTCTGGGTTTGTGTTTTGCCTGAATCTGTTCTTGCTTTTGGGCCGGTTAGCTGCTCAGGGCAGGGACTGCTTCCTATTCTGGATGAATAGGGTGCCCACTGCGCACATAATCCCTAGCACACCAGGCTTCCAACACTGCTTGAGACCTTCAGGCTGTCCGGAATGCAGCAAGCCCGGAAAGCTGCCCAGAGCATCCCTTGCTGCCACCCCTACATCCAGCAGCTGACACAGCTTCAGGCAGTGTGGCAGCCTGCGAGCATTTCTGCCAAGCTGTCCCACCCCGGCGCGGACAGATCACCCTCTCAGCAGCAGCGACAGAAGCAAACGAGACACCGCGTGTGGCACACGCATTCCTCGGGCCAACGGAAGGAGGGCTCTTCGTCAAAGCCACCCCCATCGTGGAGCTTTACCGAGCGCACCCCAAGGGCTGGAGCCTGCTTTCCAGGATGCAGCACGCTGGCCTGCCAGAGTGTTTGGCTTTTCCAAGACACACAGCAGCAAGCAGCACAGAATCGAAATGACTCCACATCTATTAACTCTATCAGCGCCAGAGAGGAACCCTGGAAAAGAGCTAACACACAACTTAACTCCCCCTCACGAGAAAAATGCTGCAGAAAACAGTTACTCTGTTGACTACGATACATCCTCTTCCTGAACACTTCATAAAAGATGCCAGACTGAAAGCACAAATTAGAGGTCTCCGTGCACATCGGAGGGAACGCGCCTCCATCCTCCCCTTGCCAGAATTAAAAGGAAAAGCCTCCAGGAGGAGCCAAGAATTTACATTCAAGTTTAACCCAAAGTCACCAGCCAACAAGAACGTGCACCACGATCTGCACAAAGCTGCTTCTGTGACATGATGCTGGCAAACCGGGAAACGGACCAAGTGCTATAATCATGCTGCAGAGTCCCCTGAGCAGCCATCCCGTGATCATCTCCGACCCAAACCTGGCCTCGGTGCAAACCAAGGACTCTTCTCCTCATCCCAGGCCTAAGAAAGACACTGAGGTCCGACGTCACTGTCCCATCCTTTCCTATCACCAGCTTCCATGTCAAATAGCTACCTCTCAAATCCTCATTTAAAACCAGAAAGGAGGGATGTGTCCCCAGCGCTCTTATTGCAAAAGCTATTGCAGATGCAACTCCTCAGGGATTTGGAACCCTTATTTGCACTTCACAGCGTGACTGTAACTGTTTGTTCTCTGGGCAAACAGCAGCTTAAGTAATTCCTGTCTCTTTCTTCCTCTCTCTCAGCTTTGTGCAAGGACTACATTCTCTCACAGCCTCTCTTTGCAAAAATAAGTAACTCCACTTCACTTACAGGAGCAGTAAGGCCTATGGAAAATAAAGGCACTTACAGCTATGTACCGGAGAGAGCGGAGGCAACGCTTGGGTGCAGATTCCACCTCTTCTTGCTTTGTGTTTCCCCAGGCTTGTCCCTTTCCCACTGCTCCTAACTCCCTGTGGGGAAGCACAAGGCACAGGTCAGGCGCTAAGCGCCAGCTCACCTCCTCCAGAACCCACTCGTTCTAATGTGAGAAGATATGGGATTTCAGGTAGCTTGCTTGGGCTTTGCCTGCTTCTTGAAGATGAAAAGAGGTGGAACGAGAACTGTTAAAAACATTAAAAAACAAACCAACCAAATCAAATGGATACCTTCCCATACTTAGAGCAGCTGCATTCATCAGCAATTGCTCCACCTCTGCAGCCGCCTTTACCCACATATCATGGTACACACCTGCTACCAGTTACACTTAGGGAATAAGCAGCCTCTAGGGAAGTGGAACCAATTTAACCTCCCGCACATGCAGGAGAAGCTCCCATCAGCCAAAGCAGATGGACACTGTACCAGTAACTAGAAACAAATTTCATCCGCTTGGCCATCACTCAATAAATTGCTTTCCCCAGGTTTCCAAAAATCTAGTGCCCTCTGCAGAGCAGGGAAGTTTTAACCCATGTAAAGATATAAGTGGTTACATTAGTATAAATGTATAGTGTAAGAAAAAAATAGGGCTTGCATTGCATGTTCTACCCCAATTTGGCAAATACATGCCAGAGAGCAGCAAAAGAACATCCTGATCTACATACCTATCCCAGGTGCCTTCCCTCCCATCGCTGCCACAAAGCCTGACTTGCACAGGCTTGGCAGCACTGGCCACCTCTTTTTAAATATCCATACTTGGAAATTGTCTCAATAACCACATTTCTAACATTTCCAGAAGGAAACTCCCAAAAGGCAGCATGTTCTGTTCATTCATTAACTTGTTGGAAACTTCAAGCACACGCATCACTCCTGGCTTTGCAAACACAAGAAGAATCTCAGCAAGCCTTGGTGCCTATAGCCCAACAAAACCCCAGAACGCTTGTTGTGTATCAACCCTGGGGCCAGAAATCAGACCCTGCTACTTGCACTGCCCGCGTTTGCCTCTCGAACACCTGATTCCAGCACAGCTTTCTGCTGCACAGGGTTCAGCTCTGCAGTGAAGTTTTGTGCACAAAGTTCAAGCAGGATTAACCACGTTAACAGCCCTCTCTGTAAAGCAACATTAAAAGCCGTGCTCTACCGTCAACAGAAACCCTCCGCCGAGGAGACTGTCCCCTGGGTTTGCTTTTGTAGCCGCTCGGCGACTCCAGGAGCAAGGCAGACTGCAGAGCAACACAGGAAAACCGCACA